TCCCATAGGGTCTCTCCTTAGCAACCTGCAGCCAAATCTAGCAAATAAGTTTCCAATAATGCAGGATTCCTTTGGGCTTTTCCAGTAAAGCAGCATCCCACTGGAGCCCATACAAGTGTGCTAAATCACAAGATGGTTCTTCAGTATCAGAGATCACAAAGTTCTATTAACAGTGTCCAAGGTCAAGAAACTTTTACTAGTAAATACAGATATCTTGTTCGATACAAACCATCATCCACACAGATGAGATGTTATAAGGAATGCCTTCATTACATTAGAAAAATTTAAGCAAATCAAAACACCAGCATAGTTACACATCCACATTGGAAAGTAACTCGATTAATGTATGGTATAGTAGAGATGACTCAGTAATCTTGAGAGGCTTCTCAAAGTTCAGATCCACAAGTTCATAAAGATGTGTCTGCCTGCTCTCTCCAAATACCAACACCCAAGCCGAATAACTTAAAAGGGAACTAAGAGAGGAACAGTTGAACAAATTTAGTGATTGCATAGACTTTCTTGCAAGATATTAATGTTAATTTTCTCCACAAAATATCGAAACTTCAGAATACATAAATACTTAATGAACAAGTAAATTGCCTGGGAAGTGCAATTCAACAATTGAACTGAAAACCGGTGTAGTATAAAGTTAATTTTTGGGCCAAATTATGTTCTCATTCTGTGGGTATCTCTTTAATTTCTAAGATAAACATCAGATAAAATTGAAATTATGCAAGATTATAAAAGTTTCTCAGGTCTAACAACAGACATATGCACATGAATAAGTGACAAAATACTGACACAAAATAATGATGTCCGATAACCACCTGAAAGAGTCAGTTGCGGCAGTTATGTTTATGCATCAGAAAAGATGGAGTAAAAACAATAATAAGAATAACGATGATAAAAGCATCAATATAAAATACTGTAAGGCAAGCACTTTGAACAATAGCAGAAAATTTTATCCTTACCGACGGATTATACTATACAACTCTGGTCTTGCTTTCATCCAATCACTAAAGCTGCACTGTGCAGAGGACCTAGAAAATAGTGCATCTCGTTGTGTATGGAGATATACAGCAAAACATATAAGGAAGTAATATCTTTCTAGGTACTCCACAAAAAACGAAAGTGCAGCCTCTCTCTTCATCTCATCAGGTTGGCGCAAAATACTATTGCGGTAGATAGCAATAGCTTCACGTAAGTTCTGCAAGTAATCCATATAAACAATTTGAATGAAAATTTTGCATTATAAATTATTTTTATCTCAGAGCCACACGGAAAGCAACTGCATATTTTCAAGCTTTCTAAAATGAAATGAGGTAGAAGGATGATAGAGAAGATTGGTCATGGATTGTTTTCATCACAAGAAGCAGATCATGCAACAAGAAAACAGCATAGTAGATAGTGCGCAGAAAATAACCAAAGGCAAAACGTGGTAGAGCAAAAAATATTCCCAAACATAATACAACACTACCTGCATAGAGGAACATTTGTCAATGACTTTATCCACTTGTCTTTTGCCTTCAACACCACCCTTTAAGGCATAAATCCAGTCAATAACAAATCAAACAATATGTCCAATCTGCTAAAATTATTGAAATAGAAAGTTAGACTACTTTGCTACCTCTAATACCCGAATCAAGCTTCTAATTACAGCATATTCCCCTCTACGGATTGCCTCCTCTGAGTTTGGTAATGTATCATTCAGATTGGAGACACAGTCGGAAACTCTACCAATGGAATTGCTCCTTGGAATTCCTGTTAGATGAAGGCATCTCAAGTAATGTTTCCAGCATTCAAAGATTTGAACAGAGAAGTGATTAGAATTAAAAGTGTGATTCAAGCAGAAATGCAGGACATACAGGTCTAGAGATTTAGCTTTTACATCAAGTCCTGGCAATCTGCCTTCACTTTTTTTTTTTTGGTGAGTGTGTGAGATAAAGTAAAAAAATATTTATTAACGACGGGCAAAAGACCTCCCGTAAACCAAAAAGTAGAAAACCTTACAATATATGATTTTTTTACAATCGACAGTATGGCACCCAATCATCTATATACATATAGGAACCTCATGAGTACACCAAAAAGAAATATAGTGTACAGAATTATTCTCTACAACTTCAAATTCTCCTATTTGTCTCCTCCATATGGTCCACATAGCTGCTAATGGAGCAAACATCTCATGCCCTTTGTCTTTTCTTCCGTCTTCTAAGGGTCAAACTAAACATCACTCCGTTTACAGTGCCTCGCATCACCACTGAATTCCAATTTCTAAACCATCTCAACACTTTCCACTACAAGCGAGACACTACCCAACAATATAAAACAAGATGGTCCACTTCTTCTGCCGAGATTTTACACATAAAACACCAACTGACATATATAATCTTCCTCTTCCTTAACTTCTCAGCCGTTAAGATCACCTCCCTCACAGCCATCCAAGTGAAAAACACACATTTGTCGGTTCACTGGGGATCCATACCGATAGATACTGGAAACAGTCTCCTCCCTTACCAAAAGCTTCTCATCATAGGAGTTAACAGGAAACATGCCAATTTCCCCCTCCCCCCAAACTCCATAAATCGTGCTTTTCTTGTGTAGTGCTTTGTTTGTGGAGACATTTGACTAGCCTTTTGAATTCTGCAACTTCTCAGTCTGCAAGGCCTTTAAAACCTCAAATCCCAGTGAACTTCTCCACCTTGTAGCCTTTGTACCTGATGGACTGGTATCTCCTTTTGGCTTGAAAATTCATACATGTTTGGAAATGAAATCCTCATAGCACTATTCTTACACCACCTGTGACCCCCACAAACTTACCCTACTTCCATCCCCCACCCTGAACGATACATTCCCATTAAATTCTTCCCAATCCTTCAACATATTCCTCCATAAACCGTATCAATATAAAAGTGTAACATTTTTAGTGTTGCATCCCCCTTCCAAGACCCCGTATTTCTCCATGATCACCTCTCTCCAAAGAGCAAACCCCAAATCTCCATAAACGCTTTCCTAGTAAAGCATAAATACCTTAACTCTATAACCCCAAGTCAACCCCAATACTTTGGTGTCATGAGAATCTCCCAGTGTGTTTAGTTGAATTTCATAGAAAATTCCTTTGAAGTTTTTCCAAATTCACAATTTGCCTCTTACAGTTATATTGCAGTTAGTAGCTGAGACTTTAAGCATATTACCAGTTACTCCCTTTGTCCCAATTTATGTGTTATACTTTCCTTCTTAGGCTATCCCAAAAAGAGTGTCATACTTTCTTATTTGGAAACCATTTAACTTTAAACGCCCTACTTTACCCTTAATGAGATGATTTATAGCCACAACAATATCTATGGCTAGTTTTAGACCACAAGTTTCAAAAGTCTTCCTTTATTTCTTAAACTCCGTGTTGAGTCAAACACCGCCACATATATTCGGACGGAGGGGAGTACGTTTTTTACAGCATCACAATCTACAGCAGCCAAGGGTATTATAAAAGAAGAAATGTTATTCTCACAGGTAAATGTTTGTCACGGCTTAACTTACAATTCCGTATCCTCTTTCGTCCTCCGCTACGCCTTTCCCCATTTATTTTTAGCCACTTTCTATTTTCCCAGAGAAAAGTGCTTTTTTTGCAAGTAGAAATGGCTTCGACAACAATCAAAACGTACAGAGATGTATGATTTCTACATTATCCAATTAAGCGCTTCTACTAAGTGTGTGAATCAACTATTAGCAAGAAAGAGGGACTTAAGACTTTAAACTGATAAAGAGCTGATAAAGAGTAAACAGAAGCAAAAACCTACTATTTTCATGAGGTTACAAGTGATATCAATAATCCATATCATAATGAGGCTGGATTTCCTCACAAGCAGTGTAGAGATATCATTTCAACCCAGTCACCGTTAAAGAAAAGAGGTGACTAGAGCCTGCATATTTTTCTCTTTTTATGAACTCAAAAACTTTTTATATGATGGGAAAAACCCGCATGCAAGCTGTTGAAAGTCAAGAGAATTAATGTAATTATATGCTAGAATATTCTAGATTCATTCTATGTGTTTAAGTTAGAGTCAGAATATTCTTTCTCAGCATCATCTTACACTATTTCAGCATTTTTTCGGGTGACTATTTAAGTAAAATATTTTCTGAAACTTTTTCTCTTCTTTTTTTCATGAGACAAAATTTAGGTGTTGCGTCCCTTTGAAAATCGAATTTCCGGTTATGATTCCAGAAAGTCTTCTTCTCTTCTTTTTTCTTCATGGTATTAGAGTTTACGAATTGAGTCCATTGTATTTCATTATTCTGCAAGAGTCTTTTCTTCCTTTTTCTTCATAGTACCAGAATTTGGATATCGAGTACCTCAGCTAAGCATTAAATTTCCGGTTACTATTCCTTAAAAGTTTCTTTCCCATCTTTTTCTTCATAGTATTAGAGTTTGGGTATTGAGTTTCTCCTCTTAGCATTGAAATTTTGGTGACTATTCTAGAAACGTCATTTTCACTTCTCTCTTCGTGATATCAAAGTTAAGCAATTGAATCCCTTCTCTGAACAATTGAATTTCAGGTCACTATTCTCAAAAAAAAGGCCCTTTAACTAAAAGGGCTTAATAAAACAGAATTCAAGAACAAGAAGCAAGAGAATAAAACCTAAGGGCAGGAAATATTCCTAAATTGGACATTGAAGGAAAATGCCAGGTCTGACATGAGAGAAAGTAATTACCAGAGGCCCCTATACGATTGAGGTACACCAATGTGGAAATCACCATTCCTGTGGTTGTTCGCCCACGTCCCATTTGGCAATTAAAAATAATCTGTGTGTTCACATCAGCTTGAGAAACTCTAAGAACCTAAAGATCAGAAGGCAAACCAGAAAAACAAATGAGGAATGAGACAAAACTAAATGCTTAAATCTATCATAGAAACGATTTGGCACCACTACATTGACAAAGACATATTTATTAAACAAAAGCACTATTTTAAGAGCATAAATGTGTAGATAGTCATAAATACATGTCTCCATCCATCTTTAGACTACTCATTAGAAAAAGAAAGGAAAAACAAAGTTTAACACCCATGTCAATATACATAAAAGACGTCAGCTTGACGAGTTAAGACAGTCGTGATGCTCTAATAGAAATATATTCCTAACGTGTCAGATGCATGAAGTATTATGTTCCAGTGTAACCGTTGACCAAAAACAATAAAAACCTAAGCAAAAAGAACCTCCCATGCCTTTCGTGATGACAAGAGATGTATCTTCGACATAAAAGTGGGATTCAAAGCCGAGTAGAAATATAAATACTCACAAGAATATCAAAATCCAGCTCTTTGGGTGATTTTTCGTCAGTAATAGGAACTCGCTCGTAGTCAACAAGGTACTCTTGTGCTTGCAGTTCCTCATACACCTAACTTAGAGGGAGATGTTCAAAATGAAAATGAGCAATCAGTACAATCTTTTCTGACGTCAACTTCAATAAAGCTTTCCTAAACTCATGAAACCTGTAAGGGTGTTTTCACAGAATCAGATGTTACTGGTTCCCATTGATCCACCATCTGACCATCAGGAAGCTCATCAGTTACAAGGATCTTATTTCCATATCTGTTTTTTTATCAAGTGATTCACATAAAATTTGCGATACATGAGCATCATCATGACATTTAGTGAAAACCTAGATATCCGTTCAGGAACAATAAAATTAGAGCAAACGATAACCTTGCAGCTTCTAGCAGAACATCTTCTTTCAAGCGATCCTCCATTTGCTCTACCCTTTTCCTGTTAATTCCCTATTTAATATAAAATCTAAGGTCATCAAGAAGAATATCAACAGATAGATTAGGAAAAGATATGCAGTTAGAAACTTGTATTAGAACCCAACAAATGCCAGATATAAAAAGTTGTAAGTATACACAAGAATAATTGTGAACCAATATGCATTGGCAGAAGAAAAGGTTTTACCCATAATAAGAAGCATTAGGATCCTGCTGTGATAAGGTCTCACGGTAGTCATGCAATCGGGCTTCCATCTATTCTTTTTTTTCTTTGGATCAAGTAATAAATTATTAAAAAGTTGGACTTAGAAACCTGTATACAAGGGGTATACCCAAAAAACGTAGAAAACCTACAAAAAGATATGGTTTTCTACGAATGACACTCAATCTTCTATACATAAAGGAACCTCATGGATGCACCCAGAGACGGATCTAGGATTTCTAGTACATGGGTGTGCTATTAAAAAAGGAGAAAAAAATGTATTAAGTGGGAATGGATCCCTATTCCTCTTGGTAATTAACTCAACCTTCAACCAAGTGCACCATTCAAACTTCTTAGAGCATGGTTGCCAACAGTTAATATTATACCAATTTTAGAAAATATATACATAAAATATCTATTTTATGGAGAGACCATGGGTTCACGTGCCCCATATTTTAGCCTATGAATCCGCCCCTGGATGCACCAAAAAGAACAGAGTTTCATGCACGTTAGCCGGCTTTGAATAAATGCATATTCAATGTTCAAAATGTGCATTTATTTTCTATTTTTGGGATCCTCCCATACTTTCACTATTTTAGAAACGTTACCTATTCAGGAATGGGCACTTTAAAACTTTAAGATACACATTTACTCAAAATATTATTCTAAATATTGAATACTTGGTTCATGAACCATTCTGCACGCACATATTTTAATCAGGTTATTTACTTGGTTACTCATCCTGCAAGCAAGCTATAAAAGGACAGATACAAATACCTAGGGGGTATCTGGAGTCACAAGGCGTGTCGGGAAGTAGGAAGATACCATTCTGCTGTTTTCTGGGAACATTCTTGCCGGCGTGTCGGGAAGTAGGAAGGTTAGCCTTTGGCATGATTTTTGGCCTCGGTCACCCAAGTATTAAGGGCTATATTATCCTTAAGAAGGTAAATACCTTGTCTGTACGTCCAGGATATTTTGTAATATGTTTATTATTATATTACTAACTTTTTGTAAACTTCTGAAAGGAAGATGCCCACCAAGTGCTAGACAAAAATCCTACAACCAATGCTGCATCCGAGAGCGAAAAGTAAAAGAAAATGTCCAGTACATGTATCTTATGATATCTCCTTGATGCCATGATCAGAAGTGTTTAAATTGTGAGTGTGGGTACGTGATGGCATATTATTTCAATATATCCTGGACAATATGTCAAAATGATCATGTCATTTGACAAATAAATCCCTAACCATGACGCACAGTCTTAATTCCAGGAGATTACAATATGATCATGTGATAATATAAAATAAAATCAGTGACAATATGTCAAAATGACAAATAAATCCCTAACCATGACGCACCGTATACTCGAGATTTGAGAAAGGCCTTTCTACTTCACGCAAGACAAACGGGCGTCCATTTATATATATCACCTGTTCCATGTTTAGAAAGGAAACAATCATGATAAAGTTTTCCAGAATTAAAATCTTGCAGCATCTTGATAGAAAAGTGCATGTCCAGAAAGAAACACAGATATCACTACACGTGTTTTATCTAGTTCCGCCATTAGAGAGATCAGGAATACCAATGTATATATCAATTCTCAGCTTCACCAGTTAATTATAGCATCCTAGGTAATCAATCAAAGAACTTACCTTCAGTCATGACACAATCTTATCACAAACAAGTTTGCTATTATCTAACCAAGTCCAATAGAAACCGAAAATCCATGGGCTATCTAAAGAGAGGTAAAAGATTATCTTGTGTCTCCACCTTTCATAGCACTTATTTTATAACTCAACCTAATGCACGAAAGAGAAAAAAATGTAGAATAGAGAAGTACCTACACTCTTTTGAATGGAGCCTGTATACAAGGAAAGGCTCTTATCAACTTACCCCCCACCCCACCCCCCACACACACAAAAAAAAAAAAAAAAA